GAGTGAATGTACATATAGCTTGGATGTTTAATATCCAATCACCTGTAGTCTGCACAATAACAACGGGTCTGTTTAGGAGAGAGTTCATTTATCAGGAGTGAATGTACATATAGCTTGGATGTTTAATATCCAATCATCTGTAGTCTGCACAATAACAACGAGTCTGTTTAGGAGAGAGTTCATTTATCAGGAGTAAATGTACATATAGCTTGGATGTTTAATATCCAATAACCTGTAGTCTGCACAATAACAACGGGTCTGTTTAGGAGAGAGTTCATTTATCAGGAGTGAATGTACATATAGCTTGGATGTTTAATATCCAATCATCTGTAGTCTGCACAATAACAACGGGTCTGTTTAGGAGAGAGTTCATTTATCAGGAGTGAATGTACATATAGCTTGGATGTTTAATATCCAATCACCTGTAGTCTGCACAATAACAACGGGTCTGTTAGTGTCGAGGTAAGAATGAAAAATGTACACTTAAGTTAGTTACTTTGCACTTCCGTAATGTGATAAAGTTCTCATGATGCAATAGTAGATCATTCAGGGTTTTAAAATTGTAAAGTCCAGGAAAACTTAATATGTTCCACCTGATATGATACGTAACAGTAAAGCAATATTCTAGTTATTTTGGCCAATATAGTTTTAAAAGATTTTGAAACTGAAAAAAAATCAAGATGTGAAAGCAGTTAAATTTGCTTCCATTTGTCTTGGTAAATTAAATGAAACTTGTGTGAATTACCATTGACTTCAGGTCAACTTCTGCTGTATAGTATTAACACAAAGTATTTATTGAAACCTGTAAGATTAAAACTGTCTGTGTTAATAAGCTTTAGCTGCTAATTGTTAGTCAATAGAGTGACATAATGAAACAAGGTGTTCATATTCTTCATAAATTATAGTAAATTAAAATCTCTTGTAATTTAGTTCAATAAATTATTGTACAGCCGTGTTGTATTGTACAGTCAACATTTGGTACCTCCTATTGGTGGATTTTTCATTGAAGCCTGATAATGTTTATGATTTATAAGTATTGATCATAACTTTATTTATGTTCAAGGACATTTTGATTATTTTCAAATGGTGGAATTCAACTTTTTGAAAAGCAATAATATTGATTGTCATTCACAAAGAATCGTAAGCAATTTCTATGAAGTTTATTTCCTGTACCCTTACATAATCTGAATGATTATTCTTAACTTATTTCAAGCTCATCAAGTTGAATTGCAAGACATTTATTTTTATTTTTCCCCCTCCAACAGGAGCTGGTATTGGTAGTGTGTTTGGCAGTTTAATCATTGGCTATGCCCGTAACCCATCTTTGAAACAGCAGTTGTTCTCGTACGCCATTCTCGGGTTTGCCCTCTCCGAAGCTATGGGACTATTCTGTCTTATGATGGCTTTCTTGTTACTTTTTGCTTTTTGATCATTGCTACAATTTATAATTGTTTCTTTGATCATGGCAATTAAAAAAAAAAGTTTCAAAGGATCAGGTAAAATATAAAATTCGTAATTACAAAAGCCCGTTAGGTATTTTGACTGAAATAAAAACAAGTTTAGCACATGGACATAGTGTAATATAACTTGTAGTTGACTGTAAGCCATTTTTGAAATAAAGACTTGAAAATTGTGTAATGTTTGAGATATATGAAAAACAAAACAAGAAAGTAATCAGAGTATATTAAACATATTACATTCTAAGCTATCTGTCTTCACTTGGCATTTTCCGAGAGGATCAACTACATGCCAAATATCAAAGTCAATTTTTTAAAGTTGAGTTGGTTAAATGTGATTATTAACACACCAAACAAACTTTTAATGATATTAGTGTTGTATTTCTAAGGATTAAAAATATGTTTTGGTGACTATTTCAGCAATGATTTTCAGATGTATTGGTGTATTCAAATATAGGGTGATAAAATCATGATTCACCTTTAAGTCCAGACCATAGTAAGTCACGTTAGAGGTTCACTGACTGTTTCTCTTATTACAATAATTGGTGGGAAATGATCCTATTGTGACATTGTTTTCGATATCAAAAGTACACATTTCAAATAGTGTAAGGGTAGGTTGTATAGAAGAAAGTCATAATCCTGTACAACACTTCAAAACCTATAAGAAAGTTCTGTTTTATGATACACAAATGCTGTGTTGAATAATTTTCGAAGCTACTGTCACTTCAAAACAGAAATAATGTACACCAAAAGGAACGTTGGAAAATTGTAGAGAATGTACGGCTTCTGTCACTTCAAAACGGAAATAGTGTACACCAAAAGGAACGTTGGAAAATTGTAGAGAATGTACGGCTTCTGTCACTTCAAAACGGAAATAGTGTACACCAAAAGGAACGTTGGAAAATTGTAGAGACTGTGTTAAGTATACACAAAAGTTGTGTATTATCTGAACATTAGTCATGGGGTTTTGAATTTCTAAGAAATGGGTTAAAGAATAAGTTCTATTTATTTCAATTTCACTGAGGTTAACTAGTAATAAAGGTATATTTGCTGAGGTTAACTAGTAAAACAAAGATAAAAAAATTGCAGAGGTTAATTAGTAATAAAGTTAAAAAAATTCGCTGAGGTTAACAAGTAATAAAGGCAAAAATTCATAGCCATACCAACAGTCTTAAGCATAAAACAACAGGGTATTTCCATGTTAAGTTTACATTACCGTGTAAGCTATACAGCTACCATAGATCTTTTATCTTGATTACCTTTTGGAATACGTGGTAGAATACATTTTACTTCCTCTGTTAGTCTCTATAAAGAACCTGATATCGGGCATGTTAATACAGCCACATCTTGCACAAGTTTCCACTATCAGCTTGATGTTTTAAAATGCAAGTGATTGTAATTGATTTTTTTTACAAAAGTTAAAACTGTAACATAACGTGGTTAGTAGGACTTAATAAAGTTACTCGTAATTGTCGAGCCTGACATGACTTGTACAGAATTCAGCCACAAGAACTGACCACTGTATATCTTTAAATTGTTGCCAGTTTAATAAGTTTCGTGACTTAATGATGGTTTGTTTAGTGTTGAAATTGGCCTCCTGTTTATATGATGATTTTTCATGCAGACAGATAAAATGCATTTCCTATTAAGTATTTATCTAACACTAATAATTAAAATTCTGGTCATTACCTACATTCCAGCTATACAGAAGACATCAGAATTCACCAATACAAGAATAAGATCACACTCAAATTGCTTTATTAAACCCTGAAACCTTACAACAACCTAAGTTACAAATCTTTGTTAAAAAATTTGGTAACCTCTGTGGATGAAATTCAACAAATTTCTTAACAAATGTTTTACTCTTGACCAATCAACTTGTTTTTTTCTTGTTAGGTTTGTAGGAAAAGGTGCTACAAGTTTAAATCAAGTATTTTAGTTAAATGCTAGGAACGTTTTCACAAGGTTTAATGTTAAATATATATATATTTTTTCTTCTTCTCTGAAATAAGTGCTTTATGGGATACTCCTCTCACACATTATAAGGGTCAATATATGACAATAGAATGTTTAGACTTCAATAAACCACATTTAAACAAATACAAGCAAACAAAGTCACAGTTTCTAAAATACACTATATCGATAAATTTAAATTCAAGATTTAACTTGCCTCGTTTCCATCTTTAAATATTTCCAAACATAAATCAAAGCTTGCCATAAAAATAGCTGTAACTATGTTGATTTTCTTTAAAATCGCCTGCGTTTTACAATATTTCTATTGAAGTGCATCATACATTAATAAAAGTCTACAATAAAAGTAAACTTTGGAAATGACCATTTCTTTAACAGATATATATATAACGTTGTCTAACATTAATAATTAACCATAACAACAGATAAATATCTCTTGCATTGGAAATAAACTTAAGTTGCAGAATTACTGTTGGACTGTACACATTCAAACCCAAGTTTAAAAAAAAACTATCATTTTACACATATGTATAAAATATATACACAAATAAAGAACTAAATTATTTAGGAAAAAAAATTACAAAACCATCTTGCATAAATGAACTCGTATCACAGAATCTACTTGTACTACCACATTTTCAAGTTTTACACATCTATACGTGTAATACATTCTTGCCTGTTTAATCTTCCATTGGTTGGTTCCACGTACATGCTTCTAGAATATGAGAAAATTCTGGTATCTAAGAACTTGTTTAATGATGCAAGTAATTGTTTTCTTTTTATAAAACTTTAATTTCGTTCCTAAATGTACAACTTTTAAGACTTTGCTAACATTTCAATCATCTACAGATGCTCCATGGCTCTTCTATTTTAAAATCAGTGTAAAAAGTAAACAATATTCAAAATAAAGGTAAAAAATCTGATTTTTACAGTGTATTGTTCAGAGCTTGAATCTTTAAAAATTTTCAAGTCATCTCCAGGTCTGGCTTATTATTGAATTATAAAATACGTATGTGAAAGGTTCCATGTTTATAAAATCAAATCTAGCCAACAAGCCAGTGTAAGCCTAAAGCTAGTGCATCAACAAACCACGAGTTACTGAAAGAATTACAAGTTGTGTGTTATGTTTTTTATAATCTATTCATCATGGTGGTGAAACAACCTCAAACTGATAGTTTTGTGAAATTTGAAAGTACTTCTAGTAAACACTCGGTACAACAATTCAGTACCGAAAAAGCCTTACTTCATAGACCTATTTACTCAACTTGGCATCTAGTTACAATAGTGCCCTCTAGTGACACTTGTATATTGACTAGGATTATCATAACCTTAGAAACTATCCATGTACTGATAAACTGATCTTTAATATAATGCAGTATTAACAAAAATGCTGGATAGCATATACATTGATAAAAGCATCAAAAACACCCACAAAACTATGCAATAATTCTTTTAAACAGACATTCTAGAAACTTGAAAGTTTCCTTTGCTTGATGACTTTTGAAAATGTCACACTAAAAAGACAAAAATATCCCACATTCACATGCAGGAAATAACTTTTTTTTTGTTCCAATGGTTATGGGGAAAAGATTATACAAAGATTCTTAGAAACAATCAGCCTTCACATTCTAAATACCAGAAATATGACCTTTACTAAATCTTCGGCAAGCATAACGAATTAGAAGAAAAAAAAAAAATCGCAAGGTTCATATATATCTTAAACTTTTATATTATGTTTATAAATATTTCATTGTTTTTTCAAAACCATATAAACATTGTTATTCTTAAAAGGAAGTTTGCAAGTATTACTCCAGAGTTAGGATAATAGTGAATAGAAGACTTCACGGCTTTAGAAATACGTTTGAAGTTTGATCAAAATTCGTCATAAAACTTTTGTTACGTTAAGAAAAGTAATACATTAGGTTCTGATGATTTGTACACTAAACTATGTGTTGAACGTGATACTTAGTGTCAACATAAAGAAAGACATTTCACGATTTACCCAAAGTAGCTATACTTACTGCATTTGCTCGAATATAATGCGCACCCAATTTTAAAAGGTTAAATTTGATTTGTTTTTTTACACATCAGTTGTATAAATGTATTGAATAGTTTCTAAATACAGTAAATGACTATCGATGTATTAAATTTTTTTTGGAAATCTTTAATTGAGATTTTTTTTACATGTCAATTTTACAAAATTAATTGAAAAGTTTATATGTGGTAATACACTAAGCTAATCATTCATCTTCACATAAATCTTCGTCGTCGCTAGAACATTCGCTACCATCAGATCTCCTTCCTCGAACCCTTGCTTCATCCTCTTCTGATTCTCACAGCATGTAATCATCTGTCTCGTCCATTGTATTGAATATGCAGCATTTCTTAAAGCTTTAATGATGATTTAATGATTTTTGATATTAGCTTCTAGTAAAATGCCTAACAAAATTAAACATGCACGAATATAACGCGCAATCAATTTTTTGGTAGGTAGCTGGAGGGAAAAAAGTGTGCATTATATTCGGGCAAATACGGTAACTTCTATTTATTACTGAGCAATGCTTACCGCATGTCGATTTCAAGCAGGCATGAAAAACATACCAAGTGTTAAAACATTTATAAGACTAACTACTTTAGGGATATCTTGGATAGCAGTTTAGAGAATTAATACACATGCCAAGTTCTTTGAAAAGTGAAAATAACATTCCGTACGTCATTAATAAGAAGACTCGTCAAACATGCTGGTACCAGAGACAAAATATATTTACTTTTTCATAATGGTGGCACAATTTTCAACCCGTGTAATTTCTTTTTAAATATAATAATGTATTCATATTTTGAAAACTTTGTACACGTATATATATATATTAATCCTCTATCTACCTCAATTTTACCGGTTTTAACAAAAGGGGAGAAACATAAAACCTTATTTATTACTATCCTGTCTTTCAATCTTCTTGCAGTAACGAATATACACGAAACAGAAAAAAAAAAAAGGCTGAAAACATTATCAGATCAATGCCATGCAAACGATATTACTATTAGATTCTTATTAAGTTCAAAAAATATTTAATAAAATCATATCTTAAATTAGTTTAGTAGAAATATTCTAGTACACCAAATACAATGCATAATTCAAATTTACTGAAATAGGTTTAAGAAAATAGGATGATTGAGTGTGTATAGTGACTATTAGTTTTTAGCTGCTCCTACAGTTCTCAAGGTAAAGAGTCAGAGCTGTATCCCTCAAGAGAAAGAGCATACTCATGTTTCCCTCCAACAACCAGCTGTGTATCATACACCAGGTACTATAAATGAGAAGAAATAAAATAATAAAGTCAAAATTTACTCTTGACACATTCTCTATACAGTTTTCCGAAATGAAGACTGAGGTATGCATTTGGGAAACCATGAGCTATGAACATTAACATAGCAAGAAACAATATTATGGCTGTTAATAGCAAATCAAGTTCAGTATGGAGAGCTACAGTGTTACTAAACCAGACTTACGTGTGAGAAACAATATATTTCCGAGGCTTATCCACGGTTTGCAAACCCCACAATATCCAGGATGAAGGAAAAGAGGAGTACAATATCCACATAAATATTGAGAGCGGCCATAATGTATTCTTCTGGAGATAAACTGTAGCGATGTTTTCCTCCAAGCATCATTTGGGTGTCAAAGACAAGGTACTAGACCCCATAAATATAATGAAAAATGTAACCATTAGATACTACAATAAAAAAATTAAACTTATATAAGATCAGTACATTAAATTCAAAAAAATGAACAACTGCCTTGTTTTAATAGAAGGAAAACAATAAGTTGCCATACTAAGCTGGACTTCTTAACGTGTACACGTTCACTCTGGACTTCTTAACGTGTACACGTTCACTCTGGACTTCTTAACGTGTACACGTTCACTCTGGACTTCTTAACGTGTACATGTTCACTCTGGACTTCTTAACGTGTACACGTTCACTCTGGACTTCTAAACGTGTACACGTTCAGTCTGGACTTCTTAACGTGTACACGTTCACTCTGGACTTCTTAACGTGTACATGTTCACTCTGGACTTCTTAACGTGTACATGTTCAGTCTGGACTTCTTAACGTGTACATGTTCACTCTGGACTTCTTAACGTGTACGTGTTCACTCTGGACTTCTTAACGTGTACATGTTCACTCTGGACTTCTTAACGTGTACATGTTCAGTCTGGACTTCTAAACGTGTACGTGTTCAGTCTGGACTTCTAAACGTGTACATGTTCAGTCTGGACTTCTAAACGTGTACGTGTTCACTCTGGACTTCTTTACGTGTACACGTTCACTCTGGACTTCTAAACGTGTACACGTTCACTCTGGACTTCTAAACGTGTACACGTTCACTCTGGACTCTTCTTAACGTGTACACGTTCAGTCTGGACTTCTAAACGTGTACGTGTTCACTCTGGACTTCTTAACGTGTACATGTTCACTCTGGACTCTTCTTAACGTGTACATGTAAGTGTAAACTATACTATCGAAATGTTTGAGACAGCAAACCTCCAGCCAGTTAAATCTCGGTGAGTTTACACATAAATTCCATTGGACGTATAAAGATCACCATCTGTCACAGACTGTCAGACACCACTAAAAAAGGAGCTCCAGGAGGAATTGTTATTGGTGAAGTACTGGTAGTATGTATGTATGTTCAAGACATTTCATTCACTTATTCATACCAAGATGGTTGGTTAATGAGCTGAAGAAATGGATGACTGCTGAACATGCTACTTTAGAATACCAGCTTGAATGCTCAAAATCAACTCTGAAATGAAACTGTACATCTGGTATTAAATCTATCAACCAGGAATTTAATGAGATAAGACTGACAGTGAGCCAGAACATCCAGTGTGTAGCTTGTAAGCCACACGTCACAGTCATGAATGCATCAGCTCTAATGTTTCTTTATGCATAAAAATTGGGGTGAAGAATGATGGAAAAACAGCATGTGGAATAATGAAGTCTGCTTTTAAGATAATGCAGTAGTATTATGATGTAGGAGTGTTTTAGTTGGATAACAGTTAAACTTCTTCTCCTATTGGAACATTCCGAAGAATACTCCACTGTCCGCATTCTATGGTTGATTATTTTCTGTTAAGCCTGAAGCTACACAATGGGATGTCTGTGTTCTGCCTGCCTTGAGTAACAAAATTTGAATTTCAGTGTTACAATTCCACAGACTTACTGCTGAGCCACCAGGGGGAGGGGTGCATTCCATGGTGGACCATAATTTTTCAGAATAACAGTGTACTACACCATTCAACTTGCATGTCCAGTTTGGCAGTGGTTCAAGACAAATAACTTGTAGAATCTGCCTTGGCTAGGCCACAGCTTCAACTTGAATCCAACTGGTCTTGGACAGAAAGGAAATCCTACAAATAACTTGTAGAATCTGCCTTAGCTAGGCCACAGCTTCAACCTGAATCCAACTGGTCTTGGACAGAAAGGAAATCCTACAAATAACTTGTAGAATCTGCCTTGGCTAGGCCACAGCTTCAACTTGAATCCAACTGGTCTTGGACAGAAAGGAAAGCCTACAAATAACTTGTAGAATCTGCCTTAGCTAGGCCACAGCTTCAACTGGTCTTGGACAGAGAGGAAAGCCTACAAAATGTCCAAACTTAAGGAGCTGCTTTGCATGAGAAGTACAACATTTGTTAGCAAGCATTAGTAATAGAGTCTATGCTACACCTAATACCAATAGTAGGTCCACTCCCTATTAAAATGGACCTTCACTGACATGATTCCCATCTTCTTAGGGTGTGCTGTCCAAGTACCTTTGGTAATCTAGTATATTTGATACTTTTTTTTCTGTAAACAACAACTATAAGTTATAATCAATCAATAAGATTTTCTTTTTATCAATTATCATCACACAATATTTATTTCTTTATCAATCTATAATAAAATTGGTTAAGGTCAGGAAGGAGTAAATGAGTTTTAAAGAACTACATTTTGTAACCCTTCTTTCTTTACCATTGTTTTAACACCAACCTTTATTATTACAACTTGGATTTTAGATGATCAATAATGGAAACTCACTACGACTAACAATGAGACAGATTCTTTAAATTATCTTTCATACATTTTTTTGTTTAACACTTTCTTCAAGTTAATCCTACAGTTACTGATAATGTCATTATGGGCCTCACTGGCTTTTTAAACACATTTTTTAAAACTATTTTTACACCAAGTTGATTGTAGGTCCATGATTTGTTGGCTAAAGTGGACCTCATAATATACAGGTTACACAAAAAAACAATAATTAATTCTACTAATTACTGCTTGAGTCTCCAGTGTATTTCACCCAACTGAATGTGTTAATCTACCCAATGTTTTGTGAATGTGTTAATCTACCCAATGTTTTGTTCAGTTCATATCGAAGAAAACTGTATCAAAAAAACATGTGAATGGTAAGTAAACATGTTTGTAGTTTGAGGGATAAAAAGCAGAACTCAACAATGAGAACACCAGATGTTTGTAGTTTGAGGGATAAAAAAACTGAACTCACCATTAAGAGTACCAGATGTTTGTAGTTTGAGGGATAAAAAACTGAATTCACCAATGAAAACACCAGATGTTTGTAGTTTGAGGGATAAAAAGCAGAACTCAACAATGAAAACACCAGATGTTTGTAGTTTGAGGAATAAAAAGCAGAAC